GATCTATTTATGAACCCTAAGATTCAAAGTCAGAAACTCTTGCCATCGATCAAATATGGTAACAGCATATAAAAATCTCTGCAACAAACAAAAATTCTGTAGGAAGAAAAGTTTTTTCTAGAACATGTTTATGTATCTTTCATGAAAAACCATACTAAATGGTACTGCAATTTGCTTCAAACTAATAAAGAGGTAATGAAGTAAAGGGGGTAGATAAAAAACAACAGAACACTAAGTTATAACCATTGAAAAAGGGTGGTGAGTAGAAAAGGAATGTCATTACCTTTCTTTTTTATTTGTTTTTGAGATACCATCTCACTATATACTTAAAGCTGGCCTCAAACTTGCAATCCTCCTGCCTCAGCCTCCTGAATGCTAGGATTACAGTGAGTGCCACTATGCCTATCTGTCTATATCTGTACATAAAATTTGTGTCAAAAATAGGTGAAAGGAAATGTTAACATATTTTGTGTTCTACAATTGATTATCAATTACTCTTCTACTTTTCCTAAGAAACTCAAATTCTCATAGTTCCTTCTAAAACAGACCAACCAATTCCATGATTACGAATAAGACAAAATGGACATATCATGAACACAGTGTTTTCCATTTTGTACTACTAGTTCTTCAGAGCACCTGCTAATTCACTACAAACAGGCTGGTCCAAAACACCTTCTACTGACCAGGAATATAATTTCTACCAATGTACCCAAACCCAACTGTTTTGTAAACAAAATAATTACAGTTCTGCTATAATTATTTTAAATATCTAGGATCTTAAGACTATTATTATCTGTATCATCATCATGAACAGTAAATAATTTGAGTATTTTCTATGTGCGAGGTACTATGCTAAAATACATGCATTATCTTTTTAAACCTAGACTGCAATTCCATGAGACATTATGATCTCTATTTATAGATGAGAAATTAAGACTCACAGTTTAAATACTTTGCATAGTATATCACCCAGGATTAAGGAGAGGAGTTAAGATCTGAACCTCAGTTTAACACTAAAGTCTATATTCTACTTTTCCATACTGATTCTCACGTTATATTAAAAATGGGAAAGAATGATGTATAGAAAGGATAACCTGATCAAGTTACATATCAAGTCCATTTAAAAGCCATATCCTGAATCTGTTATGAATATATACATACATATACATACATATACATATGTGTATATGTATATAAACTCATATGTACATACTTAGCAGTACTGGAGCTTGAACTCAAGGTCTCATGCTTGGGCAGGCGCTCTACCACTTAATCCATGCCTCCAGCCCTCATGCATATAACTTCTTCCAATAAATTATAAATGTTCTCATCTGATAATCAGAAATTAAAACAATTTTGTTTCTCAAGGCTTTGTTTGTTTATGATGGTACTAGGGTTTCGACACAGGCAGGGCCTTGTGCTTGCTAGACAAGTACTCTACCACTTGAGCCACACCTCCAGTCCTAATATTTTAATCTTTTTTTTTTTAACGGTACTAGAGATTAAACTCAGGGTCAACAAGTGCTCCACTACTTGAGTCATGTCCCTAGTCCTGTTTTGCTTTTTTGAGAGGGTCTTACCACATAACCCAGGCCAGTTTTGAACTTGCTATTCTCCTAAGTGCCAGGACTACATGCATGCCCAACCACACCAGGCTCACAACATTGTGCTGGCAAATATTTACTGATTGCTTACTATATGCCAAGTACTGTTCTAGTTGCTAGAGAATATAGCAGCAAACAAGACATAGCCCTGTTATCTGACAAAGGAAAACAGACAATAAACATGTAACAAATAAGTAAGGCAATTTCATATACTGAAAATAAGATGATGACATGATAGCAACTTAAGGTAATGAGAGAAGAACTTACTGAAGAAATAATGTTTGAGCTTAGATCTAAACCATCAGAAGGCAGCAGGATTTAAAGAAGCCTAAGGCTGGAAGAGCAGATAGGGTAGGTCTTACAGACCACAGTCACTGTTGCAACAGGGTATCACTGGGAGATTTTAAAGCAGAGGAATGACATCTGTTTATGCTACTGAAAGATCACTTTTAAAAATGGTAATGTGCCTGTCTAGCAAGCATGAGGCCCTGAGTTCAAACCCCAGTAACACCAAGAAAAAAAAAAGATGGTGATGAATGCTACAGTCAAGCAAATTAAAAGAAGCCTAAATAAAATCAGTACCACCCACTTGTCTCCACTAAATTATTTCCTTAATAGTGAACAAAAGTCTCTTACTGCACATTATGAAATGAAGGATGAAATGGCAACTTTTCTGAGGACTGGAAGTATAGCTTAGTGGTAGAGTGCTTATGTAGCATGTGGCAACCCTGGTTAAACCCCCAGCATCCATAAACAAATAAATAAGAAAAAAAAGGAAAACATCTAATACAGAATAGTTATTCAAATTTACACAGTGGTCTAAATTACTAAATTATGGTGTCAGAAGAAAAAAGGAAGCAAGTGGCCATCAGGAAAATGGACAGAAAGAATGCAAATGCCGAAGATGCCTCCTTCACAGTTTTACCTAAAACAGATTTAGCAATCAAACTCAAACCAATTCTAACCACAAAGAAATATAAAATTAAATGAAAACGAGGACTAGTAAGCTATTTTCATTCTACCTTGCACTACTCAATTGAGTATTTCTCTCAAAAGGTTTTAAGATATAGATGTTCACCAGGCACTTATAAGCCTTGCTACTCAGGAAGCAGAGATAGTAAGATCGCAGTTCAAAGCCACCTGGGGCAAATCATTCCCAAGACCCTATCTCGAAAATACGCAACAAAAAAAGGGCTGGTGGAGTGGCTCAAGTGGTAGAGCACCTGCCTAGCAAACACGAGGCCCCGAGTTCAAACCCCAGTACAAAAAAAAAAAAAATACAGATGTTCATTAACTGTAAATGCAAAATGTTTACAAATTACCCTTAATCATCTTAGAAAGTTAGTTCATTCCACTAGGAAAATGATACCAGGTTTTAGAAAGCTATATAAAGTATACAGAATGCACTTCAAATGAAGTACTGCCCTCCTAAAACAATCATTTTTTTTCACTCTTAAGTCATTAACAAAGGAAATAAGTTCAATATAGACAGCAGCAAAGACAGAAAAAAATCTAGCTCAAGTATATCTCATTATTGCTCACTAGAAAAAAAATAATAAAGTAATTGTCATTTGTGATACCACAAGGCAGGAATAGAGACCAACTTGTTCTTGCAAATTATATAACCATACAGTTAGAGCACCAGAGCCCAATGGAAGGGAATGTAAAATGCGTGCATAATTTGGTAAAAATGTTTTAAACAGGATGGAGAACATGTTCTCATGCTCACATTAGCGTTGCTTGCTACCACTGGTATACCAAGTGTATTAAACATTATTTTACAAAGTTAATGGTAGAGTCAAATCCTAACTACACCATTTCAACTGAGTAACCTTTAACAACTTGAACCTTAGTTTCCTCATTTCTAAAACAGTGATTAACAAATCTACCTCTCAGCCTGGTAGTGTGGCTCAAGTGGTAGACAGCTTGTCTAGCATGTGCAAGGCCGTAGGTTCAATTCCCAGTACTGCTAAAAATAAATAAATAAAAAATAAAATCTACTTCTCGATAGATTATAGAAGTAGATTATGAGGTATAAAAAGAAGGCTGGGCACAGTAGATACTTAATATATGAGGGTCTTTGATGATGACTGTTAACATATTTGATATTGCACGTTCTAATTTTACCTCTTAGTAAGAAAGTAACTATCTAAACCTGTCTTTTCTCTATTAATTTCTAGTATCATGATTCAAAGAACTACAGAACAACTCTTCCAACAATAACTTTAAACACAAATGGTTCCAAGCTTTGGGCCTTTAATCTTGCAAGTTTTACCCATCTGTTCCCTAAAAGGTAAACACAAAGCAAACATTACAGGGTCAATGGCAAAAGTGGAGTAAGAGTAACTGGCTGATGGATCTCATATGTTAACAGACAGGAAATAAACTACAATTCAAATATATATGGAGTTAGGGTTAACTTTCTTCTCAGCAGGAAGCAACAGTGACTTCTCCATATTTCCTCCTATAAAATCTGAAGTCTTCTGCAAACAAGCCATGCTTTTCTGTGGTAACGCAGCACAGGAGAGACTGGGGGAAGGAGGACACAGGAGAAAGATAAAAAGGCTGTAACTGAGGGGTGCGGGGGGAGTATTATAAACTCAAGAAAACACATTTGTTATTTTGATTATCTATGCTATTAAACTCAACTCTGTAAAAATGTACTTCAGGTGGTTAAAAAGGCAGCCAGATAAGTTTTACTCTTTAAGGATTAACGATGGGACTGACCACAGTGATGCAGTGGTGTCTGGTCCATATCAAGAAGTCTGCACTTTACTGCAACAACCCCAGGTAAAGGGAAAGCAGGTTGTGGCCTCAGATCTATGTAAAGTGTTACTTCCTAACACTCACGCAGGGAAGTCCCTGCCTAACACACATCGTAAGTTTTAGGGACATTCACCTGATAAGGTCCTCGTCAGTACCTATCACAAGTTTCAGGTCAGCGGACAATACAGGAAGTCCAACATATGCAGAAAAGTAAGTGGAACTACTACCGCTTAAACCACAGCCTGTCTGCCACCAGGAAAACCAGAAATCATGAACACGTCAAGGCCTCTAAGAAACAAACGGACGCGACAATTTCCGCGAAGGTTCATGAAAATCACAAGGTTCCGAAATGAAGTCTGTACATCTCTACGGATCTGGGCCCAACGGCCCAAGGTCACAACAAGTCAGTGGCTAAAAAAATTCCAAGAAACGAGCGTCCTGCAGTTCCAAGTAACCCTGGCTAGGCATGGAGTCTGGACTTGGGAACCCTCGAGTCCCAGCTTGAACGTGAAGCACCCCAAGCCCAATACAGTAATTCCGTGGAGGGGAAACCCCCAAGCGTTCGGGGCCCTATTTCCTCCATTTCCCCCAGACTACCCTCCTAATCACCCCCACCCACCCAACACTCACATCTCCGGAGCCACTTCATCCAATGGTAGACGATAGTACTGTGGTGTTTCTTGTTCTCTATACACCAAGACGACAGGCCTTGAATGGATTCCATGGTGTTGGTTACCGACTGGAATTTTCGATCCAACGAGGACTCCAGAGCCCCTGCCGAAGAGGCCGACGAGGAGGAGGCCTTACTGCTGCCTCCGCCGCCGCCGGCCGCCATCTTCCCGGTTTGCACAAGCGCTGCTGCTCCTCTGGCGGCCGCGGCGGCGGCGGCGGCAGCGGCGGCGACGGCGGGAGCGGGCAAAACAATCACTGCGAGTGCGTGCAAGCCGGAGGTGGGGAGGGAGCCCAGGGGGTGGGGACGCTGCACGCGCCGGGCTCCTCAGGACGTGCGCTAGGGGAGACGAGCTGCTGGGCGCGCTGGCGGCCCCTACACGCTGAAGGGAGGGGCTGCGGGTTTCCAAGGTTTACCAATATTGTTAAGGGGGTCGTGTTTAAACCAGTCAGTAACCAGGACAGCACTGCGCAGAAAACAGGACGAGTCTCCCAAAACGCCTGCTGCCGAAGCTAGTGGTTGTACACTCTACGGCTCTCAACGCGAAGGCCCTTTCCTCACCCCTAAGCCCACACTTCTGTGAACCAGGGCGGGCGTTACATATATCTTAAGTTTAGTACTACCCGACTGTCCCTTCAGTTGCAGAAGCCTCTGTCGCCTTTAGATTCTCTAGCACAGAAAAGGCCCAAGGCTACCTAGCCAGGATTTTTTTTTTTTTGCAACGCAACAGCAGCAAAAAGCAACAGCAACACCACGGCGCACGCGCGGATCAGTCCCGCCCCACCGCTTCCTTCTCTATCTAGAGAGCAGAGAAGGCGTGATGGCGGGGCAATCTGACCAATCAAGAAGATCAGAGAAGCGCGCGCAGGAGTCCGCAAGCCCCGAGGGCCAAGCAGGCGTTGCGTTTATTTATGCGCCTGCGCAGCATGTAGCGGGCTGGGGGCAAAAAGTGGGAGGGAAGAATGAAGGAGCGGACCAAACTGGAGAGGTTGGTGGAAGGGGTTCTACGGCACTCCACTCCGCCTTTTGCTTCTGGCGATGTCGCTGTTTTGCAGCGGTACAGCTCACACAAGGCCAGGAAATTCTCACCGCTCAGAGGCGCCTGTGAGTTCCTGGCGGTTGCATCCGCTGCCACTATTAACTCAGGCACCGAAGCGCGACAAAATGGCTGGCAGCCATCTTGCAGCGTCGCAGAAAGTGCTCATGCGCATGCGCCAGGTCCAGCGAGCCATTTACTACGCAGACTTTTAAACAGAAAAGCATGCTCCGTTTGGATGCCGCTCACCGTCAATCAATATCTTGATTTTGGGAAGAGGAAGTAAACGAAAAAACTTCCTTATAAAATTTTCAAAGCGAGGAAAGAATAAGTGGCAAGATGTGACCACCTTCATCATTTATGCTACTATCCCACAATTGCATAATGTATTACAGTTTACAAGAGCCCTAAGTATTAGCTGGTTAGCACAGCCTTAGGTTAACCATTCCATGACATCTGCCCAAGTAAATCCTCTGGGCAGATTTGGAGGTCGGTGTGTTACCACTGAACACATGCAATTTTAATGTCTCCCCAATAGAATCAAGATTTTTGAGACAAGGAACCCATTTTGTCATGTTCTCATCTAGTGTTCAAGAACAAGGAGGAAAAGCATTCATGTAGGGCTTTTGCCAAGTATTGTTTGAGATTTTAAAGGATAACAGCAACACAGACACCCCGCCCTCCCCCCCCAAAAAAACCCACCACCCTCGTTGAAGCTTAGTGGCAGGGGGAGACCATAAGTATGTTTCAGGGTATGTTAAGTGTTGTAAGGAAATATGAAACAGGGCTGGAGGCGTGGCTCAAGCAGTAGACCACCTGCCTAGCAAGCGTGAAGCCTTGAGTTCAAACTCCAATATCGCCAAAAAATATTTTTTTTTTTAAGAGAAGGAAGGAAGAAAAGGAAAATGAAACAGGATTGGTGGAGAGAAAGAGATCCAATATGTGAATAAAAATGGTGTGAACCTTGGGCTGAGGGCATGGCTCAAGTGCTAGAGTACCTGCCTAAGCAAGCACAAAACCCAGCCCTGAGTTCAAATTCCAGTATCATACACACACTAAAAAAAGTGGTGTGAGCCGGCCGCCAGTGGCTCATGCCTATATTCCTAGCTATTCAGGAGGCAGAGATCAGGATTGAGGTTTGAAGCCAGCCAGGGCAAATAGTTCGCAAGACCCTATCTTGAAAAAACCCATCACAAAAAAGGGCTGGTGGAGTGGCTCAAGGTGTGAGCCCCAAATTCAAGCCCCAGTACGGAAGAAAAAAAAAAAAAGTGTGTGAATCAGGTTTCTTCTAAGAAAATAATAATTGAGGGATTGGGGATATAGCTCATTAATAGTGTACAAAAAAAGTGATTAACTTGAAAAACAGCAATCAAATAGATAGGAGGTAGGAGACGAGGAAGCTGCTGGTGGATGAAATTTCAAGTGCAAAGACCCTAAAAGAGGACTATCTTAACAGAGGAAGAACAAGGAAGTTAATGCGACTGGAGGATAATAGAGGATAAGACAAGTGGTAGACTGTGAGGTCTGAGAGAGGAAGAGGGTTCATGTAGGACTTTGCCCTACATTTTGTCAAAAAAAAAAAAAATTTAAAAACCTCAATTGGCTTATGATTCTAGAATCAAGCAACACCTCATTCTATAAAATAGAATGAGCTGAACAGAGCAATTTGGCACTACAGATAAGAAGAGGGCTGAGGAAAGCAGAAACAGAATAAATAGCAGATTATCCCTACGAAGTTATTTTTCTTCCAAAGGTTAAAGCAGGGGGGACTTCCTTTTCATGCCAGCTGTAATTGATGTGTTTTGAGATTTGGCTATTATCTCTACCTTGAGTTCTTGGAAGATCAAATAAACAACCCAGTTTCACTTGGTGACATAGAACTTTGGCATAAGTGACTCCATTTTTGTTTGGTTTGTTGGACATAGTACAGAAACTCAGTCCAAAAAATGGCCACCTCCTCTAAAACTTTTATTTAAACAGCTTTTAACACTAAAACAGGGGAGGCCCTTTTAAGTAGGAGTTTTTTGTTTGGTTGGTTTTGGTGGCACTGAGATTTGAACTTTTTTTGAGCACCTTTGCTTCCTAGGCAGATGCTCTTACCACTTAAGTCACTACACCAACCCTTTTTTGTAATAGGGTTTTTCAAAATACTGTCTCAGGGTCCGTTTGCCTGGGGCTATCTTCAAACCAAGTTCCTCCTGATCTCTCTGCCTCTAGGATTACCGGTTGTAAACCACCAGCGCCTGGCTAATTAGAGGAGTTTTAAGCTAAGAAGTTACACAGGTTCCATCATGTGATGTCTTTTTAAGGATCATATTGGTCGTTATGTTGAAAATAGATTTCAGGGTCATTATTTAGGAAGCTATTAGAGTAAAACAGAAAAGGAAATGATAGTGGACTGGATCAGAGCAGTGGCAAAAAAGGTAGTGACAAGTGGTATCAGACCCTGTATATATTTTGAAGTAGTATCAAAAGAATATTCCTCATGGATTTAAGTGAGTTATGATCAAAACATTAAGTCAATATTTGAGTTTTTTGTTTGCTTGTTTTTGTTTTTACTTTTGTGTTATTTTTCTTTTTCTTTTTTTTTTTTGTAGTACTGGGATTTGAACTTGAAACTCACACTTGCTAGGCAGGCGCTGTACCACTTGAGCCACTCCAATAGCCTTATTTATTTTTCTAAAGAGACAGGGCTTTATATGTTGTCTAATCTGGTCAAACTCTTGGGCTCAAGTGATCTTCCCACTTCAGTCTCCCAGTAGCTCAGACTACTGGCCCATGCTATCCCACCAGGTAGCACCAATTTTTTTGTTGTTTTTGTTTAGTTTTGTATGGGCAGTACTGGGGTTTGAACACAGGGTTTCTTGCTTGCTAAGCAAGCACTTTACTGTTTGAATCAAGCCTCCAGCCCAACGCCAAGTTTTGTTTTGTTTTATGATACTGGGGATTAAACTGAGGGCCTCATGCTTGCTAGGCAGGCACTCTACCACTTGAGCCACTCTTCCAGCCCTACACCAAGGATTTTTTACCTGAGTAACTAGAACAGTGTTTCTCAACCTTGGATTTATTATTATTATTATTATTATTGTTGCCCTTTTTAGGTTTTTTTTCCCCTAATCTTCCCAATGCACATAAAATTTTAATGCCACAGCAATTTATATACTGTATGTATAGCTGTGCCTTACACAAGAGCAAGCATAAAGCATATTCTTTATATTCAATGCAGAGTCGTTAAGAATGACTGAGAAGGGCATGTATGGTGGTACATATCTATAATCCCAGCTATGTAAGAGGTGGAGGTAGGAGGATATCAATCCCAGACCAGCCCTGGGCAAAAGCTCAAAACCTTACCTGAAAAAATAAAGCAAAAAGTGCCTGGAGGAGTGGCAAGTGCAAGTGGCAGCTCAAGGACCTGAATTCAAGCCCAGCCTGGTAACAGAGGGACAACTCATCTCAAAACAAAAAACCAAAAATGCTGAGCACACTAGTTCATGTTTGTGGTTTTAGCTATTTTGGGGGTTGAGGTAGGAGGGTCCCTGGGGACCAGGAGGAAATTAGAGTGGGCAACATCATGAGAGTCCCATATCCTAAAAAAAGAGAACACCAAGAACCCAGCCCAAAATCAACAGCAAAAATAACAAAAGCCCCCCAAAAACGAAGAGCCTTGAGTGTAATTCGGTGGTAGATCACTCGCCTAGCATCCTAGAGGTTCTGGGTTCAATCCCTAGCAACACACACACACACAAAATTATTACACTTGACTTTATAACTTTATTGTCTGAGTAATTTTAATGTAATTAATTTACTTTATATAAGCTGTAATTTTTCAAATTTCATATGCAAGCCAGGCACCTGTGGTTCACACCTGTAATATCGCAGCTACTTGGGAGACTAAGATCAGGAGGATCAACGTTTGAGACTATTGGGACAATAGTTCTGGAGACCCCCATCTCCAAAATAAACCACAGCAAGATGCACTGGAGGTGTGGCTCAAGTAGTAAGAGCGCCTGCTTTGCAAGCACAAAGCCCTGAGTTTTAAATCCCAGTCCCATTAAAAACAAATAAATAGCTGAAACTAAAAGCATCAGAGGTGTGACTCAAGCAGTTAAAGCACCTGCCTAGCAAGTGTGTAAGCCCTCAGTTCAAACCTCAGTACTGCCAAAAAAAAAAAAAAAATCATTCAAAACTGTTTTTTTCTTGGCAGCTATTATCAGATAGGCCCACAACCATGTCATGGTCATATGCTTGCTCTCTCTCTCCATCTCTCTCCCTTTTGGCAGTACTGGGGTTTTGAACTCAGGGCCTCAGGTGCTCTATCACTTGAGCCACTCTGCCTGCCTGTCTCTTTTGTTTTGCTTTGCTAATAAACTTTCTAGTTCTCTAAACAAACTCTTATTTTTCCACATAATTTTATTTCCAAATAATTTTTAAAAAATTAAAATTATTTTCCTTAAAACTTACTTTATTTACTTTTTTTTGCAGTGCTGGGGATTAACCCAGGACCTCATACATGCTAGGCAAGAGGTCTGCCATTGAGCAACATTAACCAAAAGTTAATTCTTGGTGAACTTTTAACCTTTATTTCATATGAGAAAAAAAAAAGAGCTGTTAGATATTATCTCAGATGTTATTGACATTTTGTTCTATTTTTCATTTAATTCTTGAGATAGGGCCTCAAACTTATGTTCAGCC